GGGCCTGAATAAATCATCATGAAAAATAGAAATGACACATAATATATTATTGTATCAAAAATTTAAAATACTAGCGTATAAATGCAAAACCTCCACTGACCTTTGTAATTATTTATTTTTTTTCATTACTTTACACGAAATCGCCTTAACACGGAGATATATGAATGGATGTTACAACCACTTTATTTCATTTTATAAGTCAGAAGTTTTCTCTGATTTGTTATCAAATAAGAATAAACATTTTTATTTTCCAACTAAAAAAAAAAAATATCTCTTATACTTCAGCGTTCGGCAACAATTGCAATGTTTTAATGAGATAAAAATCGTGTGATTAAAAACTTAATGTGCATGCATCGTCTTTCTCAGGACAATTTTGGAGAATTTATTTTATTGACTAATTTTTCATTCATTTATTGGTTAACTTATTTATTATTGATTTTTTTGTTTTTTGACACCTGACATTATAAAACAATGAAATAGTTTTAATGCAAGGAAAAGGAGGCATTCCGATTATATCGTTCATCTTGCGTTCACCGTTCGTTCATCGTTCACTTTGCGTTCGCGTTTGCGCTCCGTTCGCGTTCTGCGTTCGCTCACCGTTCACCGTTCACACATCGTTCACCAAGTTGCGTTCAGCGTTCACACATCGTTCACTCACCGTTCGCTCTGCGTTCGTTCACCGTTCGTTCACCGTTCGTTAAGCGTTCGATCACCGTAAAAGTGGGAAAGTAGAACGTTTCAGGGACTGTATAAACGAAGCCAAACATTGCGATGATCATGTAATTTGTGGAATAAAAATTCATAATACTTGTAAAAAGGAATTTTTGTTTCACGGGGGGAAAGATATTTTAAAATATTTTCCGTTTTCCGTTGATTTCTAAAGTGAAAAAGGAAAGTTTTACCCAATATTTATAGTTAACTCTCTTTGTTTTCCCAAATAAGTTTTTTTTTTTTTTTTGGGGGGGGGGGGATTCACATAAATATCTATATAAATGTAAAAAAAAAAATATTTATATATATTTAGTTTCGAATATTGATGTTGAGGTAGGCTGCAGATCAATACTATCGTTCGTAGTTCTTTGATGCAAAGTTAAATACGGTTTCGCGTTATCCTTTAAGTTTTCTCATTTCACTTACCAACATATTTTATAGTTACATTTAAATTTTGATATGAAAATGAGTTTTCATATATATAATTATTTCAGGTTGGTGCATGTATAGTTAACAATGAAAAAAGGATAGTTGCCACTGGATATAATGGTTATATTGACCCACCGGAAATGCAAGGAAATCAAAACAATGATGAACTATTTTCAGAAGAGGAAAAAAGTAAATCTGGTAACTTTCTGTTTTACTTCCTCTCTTGCAATTATCCGGTTTGCGAAAATATTTTCCTAAATTAACTCGATAGCCCTTATTTCATTTAAATCTGTTGAAGAAAAAATAAAAGTGCTATAGAAAAAAGACTGGAGGGACTGACAGTAATCTAAAATAAGCATTTTCAGTATAAGTGCGGTACTGCTCATCAGGATATAAACTTGATAACGTTTGGCAGTGTTTGTTGGCTGATAATCAAATAACGTATATTAACAAAAAATGATATTACGTCATATTTCACCAAACTTTATCAATTTGTCCTGCAAAAGATTAGTATTGCAGTTGTCGTGAAAAGATTATTTTAAAAAAGTACAAAGTTAAACATCTCACCGCAGAATAATTGTTGTATTTATGAGAAAAGAAAACATACTCTGTTATTTTTTCAGTTTGCCATGCTAAATTAATGCTGTTATAAACAGGCACAGTACCAGTTTAAAGGATTGCACTGCATACGTTACATTCTTTCCTTGTAATGAATGCGCCAAACTGCTTGCCCAGTCACGGATAAGTAAAGTTATATATTATGCCAACGACAAATCTGACGAGCAAAAATACATGTTGTCCAGAAAAATGCTGGAGTTTGCAAAAATACAATTACAGTATGTATGCTTATTACAGACTGTTTTTACACCAATTTGAAAGTAGGCAACATTTAAAGTGTTAAACTTTAGAAAAGTTTTGCCCCAAAAGACAATTGTGTGTTGTCAACTATAGTGAACAATGAATGGCAAAAGACTACCCAAACACACTGTATCTAGGTAACTGATATAAACATGCAAGATTTTAACTAACAGATATCAGTGCACATGCAGCGACATGAATACGTTTAATTCTTCCTGCACACTTTGTGTTTTCCTCATAGCTCCAGATAGTTTACACAATGTCTAATCGCAGTATTTTAATGTTAATGTTTATTATAGTTCAATGTCACTATCAAGAATAATCTGGCTCCTTTTATACAAAATATAGAGTAAAATACTCATAATTACAGGCACTAAGTTTTCTATAAAACGCTTCTCAACATAGCCAATTCTAAACATTTCAGTATTGAATTAAAAATATATCATTGAAAATGAATATCTAAAAGATAATTTTTGAAAACATCATGAATGCTATGCTCTGGGTCCCCTCACGAAAGGATTATCGCATAAAAATTCTTGTGCATATTAAAAAATATGATAAATTAGCAAAGATGCAATTCAAAATTATTTTTATTTCAAATATTATCAGGAATGAAATGAGCTCTGAAACCTTAGGCTTTATAGAATATGTAACTGGAAATTAAATATTAGTTTTTTTTGTCTGTTCTTATAAATACTAATTTTTGTTATCTTCAAATTTCTCTTTTTGTAGAAGCTACAAAGAAGAAGGAGAAAGTAGAGTTCTAGGTAGGAAAGAAATCTTTCTAGATTTTGAAGAAATTGCTTTTCCAAAAAGTTTTTAAATACATGTACCCGTAATCAAAACTATAAAATAAAGCAAAAGAAAAAGAACTTGAGATAGGTTTATGGCTTTTTCTACTTTACATCAATCGTATTTACTTGTTTTCTGATTCAATTGAACATGTACTTTTAATTTATGTAAATGTTCCATTAAAATGCTCTGTTGAACTCTGAACCATTAGAAAAAGAACGAAGCAACTATATTCTTTTTTATAGAAAAAAAAACAGTAAATTTTAGGAGTTAAAAAAACGTTAAAAACATTAAAAGTTTAGGACATGCCTCTATTCCTACTACTGATGATAATGTTTTTATTTGAATAATATCTGATCTGTAAAACCTGATCATTTGTTAAAAAAAGTATCTTCTTCCTGACAACGTTTTTGATAAACTGATCCTAATTTATATTTTCTGAATGTAATCACAAGGCTTCCATTACAGACATTTATTGTTTTACAGAAAGGTTACTGCTTCTACATTTTCATAAGTGTTATCGACCATTTATATTATCAGTTTAGTTTAGAGACCAATGGTTGGACTTTGAGCTTGATTACTATTTGTTTTCTTCATATCTTATTGCATCATCTACCAAACTGCAACCTGGATGTGCTTTTACACTGCACATTAGATTATGCGCTGAAGGATATTAATGCATTTAAAACGTCTGCAAATAAGTTTCAATAGGTGTGCAGATTAATGGAAATAGCTCCTAACAGTTCAATAATTCCTTGTGCTTTCGTTTCTTTGAGAGAGGGGTGCAGTTGGATTTACGAACTACACCCTAAAATATTCAGTGAAAATGTATACACTATAGAATATATTAAACAGCATATCTTTTATAATTGGGAATTTTGTTCTTTGTTTTTTATGTATATCATGTCTGCTAAGTGTTGCTTAACCGACGTACCTTTCATCAGCTGTTTGTCACGTACGATAATAACTTAATCCACGCCAACAATGCAGAGAATCTAGTCGATGACGTCGCGTCATTCAGTATACAGCAAGATCCAGTAAGCTTTCATTCTATGTCTGGTTAATGTTAGGTACATGACATGGAAAAGGAAAGTATTTGAGTGTTTAGAAAATAGAACTTTTATATCTATTCATACGTATTCATTTACATTTTTTTTAACGAGACCTCATAATTATTGTCCGATCCATGCATAGAATGATGTAAGTGTGGAGGTCCTTAACCCAATTAGAGAGAGAGAGAGAGAGAGATAATAAACTGTCCGATACAATGGCAACAATATAAAACTAATCTTGTGATTTATCTATAAACGAGGGGGGTATCTCATTTTGCTTGTCAAAGAATATTTTCTCCTTCACCAGCTTGTATTGTATTTGAAACTAAAACTGAATTACATTTAGTTGCTGAATCATAGGATTCGTGTTGTTAATGAATTCAATGCTGACTACATTATTAGTCCTATAAACCTACGTGTTTCTTTCTTCGAAAAATTGTTTTTGTTATATAAATACCAGGATTTAATTTGTGTTTTATTCTCGATGGAATTTACATTGTGATTGATTTTTCCTTCATTAAAATAACATATATAATAGGTTTAATACCTTTTTTTTATTTTTAATTATAGATAAATTCAATGTTTAAATATTTTAATAACCACAAATATTTATTTCAACTGAAAAGGTTTTTGTGTTTTTTCACTCACATTGAAAGAGTCAAATTCCAATTAAAAAAAACAAAAAAAAAAACAAAAAACAAAACAAAACAAAACAAAAAAAAACAACATTTTCTAACAGATAAAGGATATTGCATTTAAAAATTGCAAAATATCTATTGAAAAAAGGGCTACCCACAATACTTTAATAAACTGCGCAGTTTTCCGAAAATGAATTCCCGGGTAATCTGCGTAGTTTTAATCATACTTTAAATTCAATCTATATGTGATACATACAAAGGTAAGTGTATATAGCACTGACTTACCCTGGAAGCCTTTGAAATCAACTTTCACTTTCTCTTTTGAAATTCTCAATAAAGGGCTTGGATATTTTAGGTTACTCCTGTAAGTATTTTTTTTTTAAAGAAGTATTTTTTAAAAGTATATACTGATCACATGTCTAGTATTTGTAATTTCCTTGTGTACATAAATCATGTAGATAATTGAAAATTTTCAAACAGATAATAATATCATATTTAAGATAATTTTTAAACATTTAACATGCCTAATACTCGAAAATCAGAAATGAGTGACGATAAAAAGGATAGAAGAGTAGGGCAACGCAAAAGAAGAAGGTACATGTATAATGACATAATAAATTGGAATGGGATGATTGTAAAAGTAATCTGGCAAAGAAAAAATTAAACATGTTACGTCATCTTTATCAATTAATATCAATAGCTATCCTTTTTTTATATTGAATTGTTTTAAGTAATTATAAGTAAGTAAAACAATAATGTCTAAAACAAAATTTTAACGATACAAAGTTTGCTTTAAACATAAATTATTTCAGCACACAGAAAGATGATATCATTTCATGGGATGAGTATTTTATGGGAGTCGCTTTTCTGTCGGCCAAAAGAAGCAAGTATGACGTACGAACGGTAGGCTATCTTTTCAGTTCTTTAATTTTGAACTTTCTCAAAGCATACATGTAAATGTTAGAAGCTTTTTTGTAGCCTAACGCATGACGATAATTATTTGCTCTTTAAATAGATAATTTAAAGTGACACTGTGACGGACAAACGGGAAAATTGACAACTGTAGATTTTTTGCATGACACATGCAAATTTTGTTCAGTTCTTGAAGATATTAGGTTTCAGAAAATTACAGGTTTGAGAACCTAAAAAATCTAATTTAATGGAGAAAAATAAAAGTTAAAAAAAAATCTTTGTATAACCCATCACAAAAATATCGTTTCACTTCTTCCTCTTTATTGTACGCATGCGCTGAAAAGTTTAAGAATTTACCATGATTTCAATTCCATAGATATAAATGTCGGATGACTGAGAATTTTGATACAATCTTCAAAAAAGATGATCATAACTTATCCCTTACTTCTGCTTGCCCCAATTCAATGTTGTTTACAAGTGTCACGCTAAAAATAAAGGACGCGGGACCTTGACATTGTTGACATTGACGATAAAAACAAAGCGATAGATACATTTGTTTTTCCGGCACTTATATTTTGCAGGGTTTTTTTTTCTTGCTTTACAGTGCAGCTGAGTTGAGTTGTCAAAACTGCGATATATTCGTATTAATATTTCAGAGAAATCTTTTATTTTGTGATACAATTTTCTTAAAAGAAACACAAGGTTTTGACACATTATGCAACTTTAATGAAACAAAAGATGAATTGCCATGACTTATGTCTGGGGCACCTTTTTCTACGAGGATTTGAAAAAAAAATCTAGGATAATTTTGAAAAGAGTGAATTAAAAAGACACATTATGAACAGATTTCGAAAGTTCGGATATTTTATAATTATGAGGAAAACTGCACTACCGTTCATTTTTTTTTTACACATTGAAACATCAAATTTTGTTTTTTGTTTGTTTGTTTGTTTGTTTGTTTTTGTTTTTGTTTTTGTGACTGATTGTTGTTTATGAAAAAAAGATGAATAGAATGGGAGGGTCTCATTACAATACAGGGATATATACCAAGACAGAATAGATTTTCTTACAACGTGACAATTTTTATCAGTCGATAATGAAGGTTCAGATGTTAACAAACCTAGCAATCAATTACTAGGGTAATTATCAAAATAAGATTATGAAGTTTTTAGTGGTAATTATTATTTTATTATAATCAACAATTTACGAAGCTATTGATTTATTATCTACTTATATAAACGAAGCCAAACATTGCGATGATAAGAGCTGACAAGTAGCGTTGACCACATTTGAGAAAAAAAATACCACTTGATAAAGTAAAAAAGTAAAGCGTGAGTGGACAGGTGAGCAAGATTATGAAAGGTTACGCGGGTTCAAGCGATGTAACCAACAATCGTTTATAATTGGGAAGACCATTCGGATTTCCGAAAGTGGAACGGGGCTAGAAATGAATGGGAATTGAATTTAAACTGTGTGCCCCTACCAAAACTATATTATATATCTTATATACGATCTTCTTATTTTCTGTAAAAGTGGTATTCAATGAAGGTACATATATCAAAGATTAAGTATATGCAAAAAGTTTTTTTTTTTCAAACTACAGAGAGTTCGTTTGGCACATTGTCTTTTTTGTTGCATTCTATTGTTCAAGTCCGTACTTCACTGGATTTTTTCCGATGAGACTCAAAACCAATGAAAAGGTTAATAGTAAAATCTTCCTGATTTGACAGACAATTTAGAATAAAACTTGCTATTATGCTTAAAATGGTTCAAAATCTTTCATATTTTATCCCTTTTTTTTTTATTAATTATAAATTCCAAGCACCATTTCAAGGTAAAAATGTATGAAAAAATAATCTTGAATAAATTTAAACAAATCGTTACCTACTTATGACCTGGTCTGCATGCCGTGATAAAAACTAACAAAAGTTTGATTCAAAATTTCAATTTAGTTCTTAACTGCAAAGAATGAAATGTTTCTTATATTGATTTATATCAAAATTAAAATCATTTTCTGTTTCTACATCACCTTACTTTATACTAGTTATACACATATGCATGTTTAATTGAAATCAAAAAATTATAAGCTATAATTATTGTCCTTCAAAATCCTGATTGAAATAATCTTTTACCTTAGATATTATAAGATGCTATTAAGAACTATTTTTTGCAAACAAAGAATTCAATAATAAAAAAAACTTAAAAGTTTGGCTTTTTTCACATTTAAAAAGAATATCTTTAAAAATATTTTCTCGTAAAAATAATTCAAACTTTTCTTTACTGAGTACATGAAGCATGGTCCTCTCTGCAAAAATACATTGAATTTTATCTGGTAAATGTAATTTCATCTGGTAAATGTAATTCTATCATGTCAAATTTTCAGGTTGGAACATGCATAGTAAACAGCGAAAAAAGAATAGTAACCACTGGATACAATGGTTTTATTGACCCGCAGAGAAAAGAGAGCAAGCGGAAAAATGATCCAAAATTTTCAAAAAACAAAGAAGAGCAAAGTCTTTTTGGTATTCCTCTTGCTACTTCATACGCCAAAAATGTCCAATTTGCAAAACTATTTAACAAACTTAAATTAGGTTAAAATGTCTTTTTTATATATTGAAAATTATAAGATTTTATTTTAGTTTGTCATGCCGAAATGAATGCTATTATAAATAGACATGGGACAAGTTTAAAAGACTGTATCGTGTATGTTACACTGTTTCCATGTAATGAATGTGCCAAACTGCTCGCCCAATCAAGGATAAGTAAAGTGATTTACTATGCCAATGACAAAGCTGAAACACCAAAATACAAGGCATCTGCAAAAATACTAAAATTTGCCGGAATAAAATTACAGTATGTATTTTTATCATTTACTCAATCTACAGTAAGCTACAATCAATTAAACAATGTTAAATGGCTGTATTTTAATATATATATATATATATATATATATATATATATATTTCAAATTTGTCCATATGGTTAAGATTAAACACCTAAAAAATAACGTTTACTTTGAGGATTCTATTCCTTCTTTATTTTTTTGGACAGACTGTGATGAGTATTATTCAAGGTAGTAAACAGCTAGTCAATGGAGGCAAACATTTTTCATTACTTTATACTTAAAATACTGTGAAATTATTAATTTGGTATGGTTTCAATTGTTGTTGATTTTATGGAATAAAGAGAACTACAGATTCATAATCATGATAAGAATTCAAACTGTCGTATCATGTTCCTCCATTTCTCTCAAAGAACTTCTTTAACCACTGCAATTTAACCACCCTAAATTAGTACTTTTTACAGTATAACTTTTTCTCTGTAAGATTTCTTGCAATATATTTAAAGTTTAGACTATCATGGACTAGGCAACAAGCAGGAAAAGATGTTAAAGATATCAGAATTATTCGAATCGCCCGATCTTTCTTCTACACAGACGTAAAGTTAAGGTCTTTTAATAACTTTTTTCTTAGAAAATTATTCCAAACATTTCTTATTGGAGAATATAATTCTTCAACATTTTTAAAATGATGTCATTGAGAATGTTCGTATATGTATGATGTATTTAGTAACTGAGAAGTTCACAAGGAATGCAAAATTCAACTTATCAGAAAAGCGTATGAAAGTCATTTCTCAAGACAAAGCATGCTAGAATATATCGTTATATCCAAAATAACAGAAAAAAATATTTTGTTTACAATTAAAACGGACTATCATTACCACTTAAAATTGTAGTTAGGAACTGCATGAATGTAAGCATGGCACCTGTTTTCTAATTTGTAATTTTTTCTTTCATCAGGTTAATTTATTTCTTCTTGCAGATGTTACAAACGACTCAAACGTGAAGACAGAGCTCCCATGCGGAAAAAGATCATGCTTGATTTTGAAAAGATTGCTTTTCAGAGGACCTGAAAAGATGAATTTCAGAAGTCTGCGTATATTTTTACTTTCTCTTACCTGATGGTTTTAAATATGTGATCTGTGTTCCTAACATAAACAAGTCACTCTAAAAATTCTAGGAGTAATTAAAAAGAAACTTACATCACCTTATTTTTGATGAACAAGAGGATGCATTTAAGGGGGACCGACCCTCTGATAAGAGAGATAACTTTCCAAGTAAAATATCCTAGTATTACTCATAGTTTACTTTCCAAGAGTTTAATCATCGAGACCTTTGAGCAGACAATTCGATCAAACTTAACATATGATGGAAACATTACAATACATTTCCTTTGACTGTACTTTTCAAATTGTTTTACTATGTTTGACAAAAAAACATTTAAATCCAGTTTTAAAACCCTTAAAAATTGAATAAGTTCTATTTTTAACGATCATTTTAAAAACGGTTTAATGTATCAAGTACCAAATGTAGAATTTTTATTAGTATTACATTTTTTTCCGATGAAAAAATATTTATAAGAAAGATAACTCTTGCTAACAGATGTATTGTTTTCTTACAACCACATATAACATTGTTATATTCTGACTTAGGAAGCAGCGCTTCATTATGATTTCTAATATGAATTTAGTGGGCATGACACTAAATATTATTTTCATATACATATTTCTAATTTTATGTTGTGATAATAAATTATTACTCTTCCTAATTTCTGTGTTAAAATTTCTTCATATTATGATCTGACATAGATATCTTCTGAAAAAATAAGCAGCGCTTCATACCTCATCCTATTTTTCATTTGATTTTGATGCTATAGCTCTTGATGAAAATCAATGTTGGGAAGTTTAAAAAAAAATTCGTGAATGTCAGTACTGTCCATATCATAGATCTTTTTGTAGTTCATTATGTTAACTGTTCACATGTTGATTTGTTCAATTTTTAAACTTTCATTGTACTAACATACCCCATGTTGGGGGCTTTAGTGAAATAAAATGTTCCAAGTTTCAAGTGAAACATGTCAAATGAGAATAAAAGTATTTGTATCTGACAAAGGTTGTTGCTCCTTATTTAATAACTTTGTATTTTAAGACTTGATCACCTGAATGATCATATGAAACTTGCACAACATACATAGTACTTCAATATTTCAGTAGGACATCGAAAATGAATCTTAAATTCTGGGGGAAAAACTACATATGTCTTTACCTGAACAAATTCTGTATTTCGGAATGACAAACAGGGATATTTTTAAATGAAATTTTAGCTACACAGAGCATTAATGAGCGTTTCTGACCAATATTTGTCATTTGTTTATCGTCCTCGTAGTCGAACTTTCACATTTTAAACTTTAATTTTAAGAGCCAGTACTCCAATTTCATTCAAATTTGCTACGAAGCATCCTTGGATGGAACAGATTTAAGAGAAAATGAAGTGATGAACACTTGGGGTCCTGGCGACAAAAGTAAGAATTTCAAAAATATGGGGGGGGGGGGGGGGTTTCTCAGTGAGAGAGATGTTTTCTTAATTCTTCCCAATTTCTAATTTGTTTGTTTCAATACATAAGAATACCTCCGGTTCCTTGTGATAAGAAAACCAAGAATGGTCTTTATTGGACCTGTATGATCAGGATAAAGTGCGACCATCAATGCCTTGCTTCAAGAAGATAAAGCACAATCTGGAAACAAATTAGAAGCAGAGTCCTTTACCAAAGAAATTACGATGTATGAAACAGGAAAAGAAATTTTGGAGGATACGCCAGGCTTAAGAGATGATGCTAAACCGTTTCTTTTGGAAATTTTGCAAAATGTGTCACCCGATTTTGTTGTTATTGCCTTTGCTGTAAACAGATTAAGAACTGCAGAAAAGTCTATTATTCATTTAATTATGTCAGACTTCAGAAGTTTTTTGGATAAATCTCTTCTATTAATTACTAGAGGTGGTGATCTGAAGGGAAATAAACACATTTTTCTTAATGATAACACCAATTTAGAAATATATTCTTTGAACTGCAGTGTAGCAAAAAAAAGCCTTGTTTCTGAAAATTGTTCAACTATTGAAGAAAAAATGAAGTTCACAGACGAATTCAAGGGGTTTTCTCAGCTATTCATAAACAAAGAAGCTTCAATAATGAATACTTTCCTGGGTAGAACTCAGAATTTAGTAAGGAATATTCTTGGCACAAAGTTGTAATTTTTATTTCTTCAGTTCAGTTTATCCTTTCAAAACCATGTAAATGGCACGTGGGGACAAAAAATAAAACACAGATAAAACATTGGATCAAGAGGTGTGCTTCAAGTCTAGGAGGAACCATTGTGATTAACAATAATATCGAAGGTATTTTTGTAGCATCTTGTTCTTCTCGTATTTTCTTGCCAAAGCAGAACAATTGACTGATGCTAACATGTCCTGTTGTTTAGTCCAGTAGCAATGATGATTAAGCAATTCCTCCCATCCATTCGAAAGCTCCATAGACTTTAAATTGTTCATATATTTATTTTTAATAAACCCCTTGGTTAATGTAATGGATAGGAGAACTATTGCTAGAAAATGTTTCCAAGAAATGTTATTAAAATCTTTTTACATCCCCTTCCTGCTTCGAAATGAGGATAATATGAAACACATATCACAGGGAAGTTAGATCAGTCATATATCATTCTTGAAGTAATTCTGTTCATGGAAAAAAATTGTTAAAAGCAATAAAATGAAACGGATATTGTGGAGTTGTGTAAAATTTTACACAGATGTATTAGACATTGCATGGGAAATCAACGATGTAAATTTGTGTGAAATAAATAGATATGAATTAAAAAGAATACGAATCACTGAATGCTCTTTTGCTCAGAAAACGGTAACTTTTTAGTTACTTTGTACATGTGCTACATGTTTTCTGTTCTTCTATTAGGATATTTTTTTTACATTTAGCTACGGAGATATACAATTAGTATGACTGAATGGAACATACTACTCTCTTCTCAGAGATCAATCTCTCCCGAGACAAAGTTTCAACTTTCAAGTAAACGTGTAAACCTGCATATATAGAAGGGTCAATAGTTTATTTGTAGTGCTACTTGTTTTTTTTTTCTTGTTTTCTTTCTCTTTGCTTTAGTGACTTTCTTATTTTTCTTTGCCCCTGAACATAACTTTGATAAGATTTAGGTCCATCTCTGCTTAAATAAATTGACCTGAAGAGGTGGTGGTGATAATCTCGTAAATCTGTCGTAAAAAATGTTAAAATATTGCATTTTTAACTGTGAAAAATATATATTTGATGCACTTCTCTATGCACATGAAAGATGTCAGAATTTAATGATGACTTTACGCCGAAAAGTGTATTACAGCCAGATCCTTGTTAATACCTTACTGTGTTTGATTTAACTACGCAGTACAGTTAAGGTGACAAATGGAAATTTATGTAGAAAATACATTCTTTGCAAGGATGGGCGATTCTTTTTAGGACTTTACTATTATCCGACAAATATAATGTGGTTGAAAACTACATGTTGGAGACGATTAAACTTCTTACCTTGACTTGTAACGTAATGTGACAGTCACGTGATTTTAGCAAATATACCTGCAGTATTGAGGTCATCGATAAATTCCAATATTGCAAGGGCATAACTACGTTAAAAGTCTTAGTTTAATTTATAATTATTTTCAACACTCTTTGTAGTTTGTGAAAAGTGCTGCGAACCTATATAGATTTTACTATGTTATTGCTCAAATTACGTTTGTTAGACCGTATGTTGAATATTTTGCTGGTCAAGTACATTAAATATAGATATAATTAATTCATTTCCAAGATTTCATCAGGTTCGCAGCACTTTTCAAATACCTTCATGCTTCTTGAGTTTATGTGTAAAAGCTTGTCATAATTCATTTAGGGTATGCCCTTGCAATATATCGATTTATTACGACCATTCTATTACCCTTCAATGAATCTGCATACAAATATACGGCAGTATCACTTGTCTAGGAAATGTACGGGAAGTATATAAATTAAATCATAAAATAGACGTCGCATCCAAGTTAATGGCCTAGTATATATCTGTAATTATATTTTATTTAATTACAAAACACATTTTTCATTGTATGTAATATAACTAGATCCGCCTCTCACTGCATACAAACTGCGTCAAATTTTGAGATATGACGTCACATTGACAAGTGCATTGCGATCAGTGAATTGTTTATATATTGCTGTATGGGATTTAATCAACGACAAAAACACATGCAATAGTAAGTATTGAAGTAGTTTAAAGCTATCCAACAGTTTAAAAAAGCAAATCATTTCATTTTGCGGTAATTTGAAGAACATATATTTTTGTATGATGTCATAGTAAGCATTTCCCGTAAAACTTTGGCCCCGCCTCCTTACTGCAGCCTTAACTGTGCTGCGTAGGGACAAAAATGAATAAAGTGGAACGTTTTGACGTAGTTTAAAACTTTTAAATTAATTAGAAACGCAAATTATTAAATTTTCTGGAAGTATGTATTTTTTGTGATGTCGCAGTTAATATTCCCCTCTCTTTATTAGCCATAACAATGCTGCGTAGTTTATGTTTTAGTCACAGACACGGATTGAAGATTAAAGTGTGTATGTGTGTGTGTGTGTGTTTCTTTTGTTTCAAAGAACAATATTCGCAATAGAATATTATCGCCAACAAAATATCTTATCATATCTGATAATTTTCAGCCTACTACAAATGTACTGAGAATCTTGCACGAAGTAACATCTATTGTATTTTTATCTATATATTCATAGGGGCACCTGATGGAACTCCCTTTGAATATCAGTGCTGATAATAAAGAACAACTTTACTTTGATGGATTAAAGATGTTGTAAACATTTAACAGAAAATATTTTTCAGTCTTCTTCAATAAATTAAGGAACAGATTCCTAGGTAAAATCTATTTAAAGAACATTTATTTATATACATGCATGTAGAAGCCGTTATAACCCTTCGCGAATTTTTGCAATGGCAATCAATGTACTTTAAAGCAATAAGTTGTATTT